AAAGAAGGCATTTGACTCATGTGAAATAGGAGCAGTCATGGAAGCCCCTGAAAGTCAAGGAGTCCCTACTCAGTACATGAAAATTCTTTGTGAATTGTGCAAAAATTTCACAACCAAGATATCACCATTCTATAACGATATTAACATTGATGCCAAAAGAGGGGTGAGGCCAAGCGATACTATCTCTCCAAAATTATTTACCGCACCCTCCAGAACGTCATGCGAACATTTGAATGGGATATTATGAGAGTGAAAATCCATAGTCGGCAGTTAAGTCATCGCTTTGCAGATCACATCGTCCTTATAACTCCAAACATTAGCCAAGCGGAATAAATGATTGTCGAATTTGATAAAGCCTTTGGAAAGACTGGTCTTCGACTAAATCTTACGAAGACGATGTTTATGAAGAAGGAATTGGTTTCGCATGCCCCATTCACGCTCAACGGGACGAATATCTCCGAATGCTTCAGTTATGTCTCTAGGTGTGTTGTGTGGTGTGAAATCAATGTGTTGAACGACTTAGCTGCAGAGCTGAACAGAAGGAAACGACCGGCTTGGTGGGCTTCCAACATCACCGAGGATGTAGTGAAGGGAACAAAGAATACCTGACTCCGTGCTTACCTTTTCGACTCAACCGTACGTCCTGCCTTATCCTATGTGTCAGAAACCTTGTCGATGCATGTCGAACGTGCAGTCGAAAGAACAATGCTAGGAGTATACCGTTTCACACAAGTAAGGGAAGGGATCCGAAGCTCCGACTTGCATCAACGATTAAAAATCAAAAATGCCGTTTTGCACGCTAAACACTTAAAGATAAGGTAAGCTGGACACGTAATGCGTATGATTGACAACCGATGGGTAAGAGCCGTCAGTGAATGAATTACTCGGAAGGTTAAACGTGCAGCAGGAAGGCCACTGAATCGATGGTCAGAGTTTTTTGCAAAAAACCTTGAAGAAAGGTGTGATGCTCGACGAGTCCTTAGATCAAACAAAACCCACTGGGCTACTCTTGCATGCAAGTGGGAAACATAGAAGTTTAACTGGCGCCCGCTCGAGTCACTCAACGATCAACGGGGCTACAGGTGATGCAGGTGATACAGAACATAGTTCCCACTGAGTTCAATGTATGACGGAAGGCAAGGTAAAATAAAAAAGTGCATAACATTCTAACCATCATCTTTTTTGTAATTTATTATGGTACAAAAAATTTTTATCGCACTTTTTGTATATCGCTAACGTGAAAATGTTGAATGAACGGATAGTATTCTTCGTCGATGTTATCGACAACGGCATCTTCCCAACAGCCGACTAATGAATTGAATAAATCCCAGTTTACGGTGCTTCTGGAAATTCGGCTTCGGAACTTAACGGCTTTTTCTCCTTTCCACGAAAAATAGAATCTTACACTAAGGAGGCGATGGTGTGATCCCATGTGGAATTTTGGGACAACAGCGACTTCGGTTAGGCAAACCCTTCTGTTTACTATGATGCGATCTATTTCGTCATGGTGCTCTCCATTGGGAGACTCTTGGTCTTTATGATAAACTCAGAAAGCCATTCACCCTGTTCATCCCATTCTAATCCGTGAGTCCCAATGTGACCTCCTTCAGACGTTCTTCTTCGTCCAATCATGGCGTTGAAACCTCCTATGATGACCTTGAAGAATATATGGCCTTCTCTATAAAACTTCTCCAAGTCTGTATTGAACACCTCGATTTCTTCTTCGTCATAGCTTGGTGTCGATGCCTGAACGAGGAAGGTTGTTAAAGCTGGCATTGATCCACGTCTTCTTAATCGTAAACGTCAGGCATGGGTTGTTAGTTGTCCGGATGAATTTCATGGACAAGCTCATGCTAACGAGCACGCCGACTCAGCTGACTCCTCTACTGTTGCACGTTCTGAAGAATAGTTCTTCTTCGGTGTCATAGACGGAGTTGAAAGGGTGGCGTCATCTCGTCTCGGCCAGGCCGATGACGTCGCAACTCATCCTTCTTATTTGCACGTACAAGTCTTCTACCGAGGACTCGGATGCAAGTTCACGTGCATTGTATGTACAGATCGTCACTCTGGCTATTCGCGATTCAGACAGCTTCCATTGGCCCTGAGATTTTAGCAGCTTCTCCGTACTCGTCCTAGCCAACGTTGTCGAATTGGAGGCTCTTTCGGAGTCAGAGGTATGAGGCCCGTATTTTTACTGTGTTTCGCACTTTAATACCTTGCAGTTTGCTGAGCTCTAAACTTGTGGTCTGGGTAAACTCACTGGTAGCTTTTCAGGCTCTTCTATAGTAGGTATGCGCTTATTTGTTGTAGGCGACTCGTAACCGCAACCCATATACTTCGCTATCACTTGACTGGAGACTTCTGCGCGAATTGACTCGTAGAACACAATCTGCATAAACAATAACGCACCGACACACCCGTGCATGGATATGCTTCGTAAATGAAAGAAGCATATCCCAAATCGGCCCAGTAGCAACAGGAAGTCTATCTCGGATCCACCTGCGTTTCAGGAAAGCAAAGTCGCTTTTGGTCTGCGATTAACAGCTCCCTATCGGTCACCTGGAACGTGTCGCCCTCACATGAGGAAATCCGCAAAGGTAGTTCATTAATTAGTTTTGCCGGATTGAAGGCCAGCAAGGAATCAACACCAAATCGTGTTAGGCTAAAAACTAAATGCTATATAGGGATGAAAAACATGCAAGGCAACATGCATGTATTAAATAGACGGCGTCGAAATAGTTGAAATAAGCTTAATGATTTGCGATGGGCTGCATTTCGTTGATTCAATAACGTTTTCTCCGGAGCATTATACAAGAAGTGCCTCTCTCTCTTCCTCTTGCCTCTTGTAATAAGTTTGGTGGCTGTATTCATTTTTAATTTTAATGATGCTGAGATATTTGCAAAACTCCGGACAGCAGGTGCCTGCGGTGGGGAACGAACGCGCTTTTATCCTTTCCGGGGAGTAACGCGTTCACCACCACACCTTGCGTGTCCTTCGTTTTGCCTGTCCCTCAGCTAGTCCTATCGATTTCTGCCCTCAGCAATCACCCGTCAGCGGGATGATCTGGGAAACCCAAATCGGCAATGAGCCCAGTTAAGCTGGGGGTTTAGTTCTAATCACAGTCTTAACCGTTTTATTTACTGCCTACTCTTTTTGATTGCAGGACGTCCCCGCTAACGGGTGATCGCTGATGGCAGAAATCGATAGAGCTAGCTGAGAGACAGGCAGAACAAAGGACCTGCATGGTGTGGTGGTGAACGCGTTACATCCCGGAAAGGACAATAGCGCGTTCGTTCCCCACCGCAGGCACCTGCTGTCCGGAGTTTTGAAAATATCTCAGCATCATTAAAGTTATATTTCGCAATATACCCTGCTTGCAAAAAGAGTGGGCAGTAAATAAAGCGGCCAAGATTGTATTCTAAATTTTGTTTGTTTTTGTCGCCCAACGTCATAATAGTGGAGAAAATAGCATTTCTCTCCCTTTCTATTCGCCATTCCATATCGATCGTCCACAAGTGTCCTTAAATTTTGCGTTTCTATTCCACTTCCACTGCAGAACGTCGACTTTTCTAGAAAACCTTCTGTAATTCATTAAAAAACGCCTAGTATTCTTGCAAATGGTCATGCGTAACTTCCGTTGCAGCAGAGTTCGATTGTAATTAAACTTTTACAACTTAAAAGGCCTACTTTATATAAACCTCTGCATTCATAATTAACATATGCAAATCTTATCAGCTGCCCTTGTTGAGCTGATGTCAGGTTGGTATCAGCTGTTATTCTGTCGCTATTCGTTGGTTAGCGTTTCTGTGATTGCACTTCCTTCACAGCTTGGACGTATTTTATTTAACGCCTTCCATAAATCTTGATTAACTGTTTGTAGTACAAATAAAAATTTATAATATTAATCAACCCCACTTTGTTTAAAAACTTATCTCCATTTTACAAGGTGTGGGACCATTTGTATGTTGTTAAATGGGTTGCTGAGTGAAAGCCACCTGGATTGTGATGAGCCAGTCGTCGTTTCGTTTCATCTTTGAGCTTTTAGATTTTGTCCAAAACGCTTCAAGAGTTTTGCGCGTTGATGTGTTCAGTCCTTGCACTGTGGTCTTAACAGTCGTTTAAAATCATCGCCGTTGTGCTGAACTTTTATAAGCAGCTAATTAAGAGTAATAGCATAGTGCAATGCCATTATACAAGAATAATTGCTATGACAAAGGAATCATCACTGTGAAAGATAACATCCAATGTATTGACTAATAAAATATAAGAAAGAAAAATGCAGTGAATCATTTCTAACAAAAAGGTAATGTAGTGGACTGCTTGCGATTGGGGGGATATCTGCCTCGTACGATGGAATGAACAGTCCTGGAGCACTATGAAATCGATCAGAGGGATAATCTACAAGGACCTAGTGCTTCTGGAGTCGCTATAATCCTCTAAAAAGAGTAGAGGGTACAACGACAGTCGAAGAAAACTATGGCCTTGCTCAAAACTGAGTGGTACAGGCAATGTGTTTTCGTGACATGCCATAGAGTAGCATTATGTGGAACAATATAGGAGGATAATAGTTAGTAATAGCAAGTGCATTAAACCAGACCGAATGGCGCCGTTATGCATTTGATTCTGGGCTGTTGTAGACTTTCCATGAAGACCTCAAATAATTGATGAATGTGCTACATCATTTGTGACCAAAATTGAATTTTTTCAAATTCCTTCTTGAATCTCCTCACGCGCCACCAACAAACTGCTCTCTCATCCCGTCCTATCCACAAGGTTTCATTTCTCTGCTGAGGCATTCTATTAAGGTTCAAGTCTTTTAGCTATGGATTTATAAATACACTAAACAGGTACTCTAGATACACTTTTTATGGCGAAATCTTATGATGGCAAAAGAAAAAGTGGAAAAAGTGTTGAGGTATCGTAGCTATTCAGTATAAAGCAGTTTTCGATCACCTACGCTCGTTTATTCCTTCTCGTAGTGTCGTGGTCTGCAAGTTTCTTAATAAGACAAGACACTAAAACAAGAAACAAATTCGTACAAGAATAAATCCTTGCGTATGACTTTGTCCCCCATACTTCTGTTGTCGTTACTGTAGAAAACAGCATTTTGATTCGGAATGAAGAACGCTAGCCACCAGCCAAATGTTGACGTAGGAGCGGTGATGAGAAAAGCGCTACACATCCTCGATGCCAAATAGAAATCCACTTCTTCAGAATTTTTTGAATACCGCACTTCCTAAAAAAACTTGAAGAAACGATCCACTCACACGGTTTTAGGCCTTTCTGTATGACACTGATTAGTTTGTGCCTAGAGAATGGTAAGGTATTGCCTGAAAGGTTTAGAGTTGGAGTGGCTTTTATTTCTATCGAACTAAACGCTATGTTGAAGCATTAAATTCTAGTACAGAAAAAAAATATTGACCTTTGCCAAGTCAAAATAGAAAAGTAACCGGTTAAGGATAGCAGAACGATTGGCATATTTACTCTAGTTTGCATCGGTTAACAGTAAAACGTCAGCAGAATAGTGAAATATGACATACCAGAATATTAGCGCTTTTTCTTCTTTAAAATTGCTGCAATGAATTACCAGGTCCTACCCGTTTTTCAGATTTGTCCAGTCGAATGAGTGATTCTCCCAACAGCTTCATGAAGTCCAAATCATCACCAAAAAGAAGCACATTCAACAAGCCCTGTGTAACGATTTATAGAAAATCTTCTTTTCAGCATGCACGCTAATTTCTAGAAATGTGTGCGTTACCCGTTGCCTAGCAATCTCGTGAATATCATGAACACTTCTGTTGAAGTCAGATGCAACATTCAAGTCAACAAAATCTTTTCGACGTATATGAGAACACATAACAGTGCTGTTGCTGCTTAAAAATACCAACCAATCAGACAAATAGTTTCGTCTCACTAAGAGCATGCACTTATGGTGAAAAAAAGAGAACAAGAAAATGAAGTCAAACATGTTCATTCGCCGCAGCATGTCATCTCCAATTTGCTGAATATGACGTGAAAACTCAAGAATTTGATGAAGTTCAGGTAGCATATCCTCAAAATATCGCGAATGCTGGGCGAGCTGGATATCAAGCACTAAAAACTGCTCCGTCCTTCCTCGTAGTCTGAAAAAAATTTTGCTCTTCTAAAGCACAACTTTGCAGAAACATAAAGAGAGCACTGTAAACAGCTTCACGATAAATCTAAAGACCAACTTATGATTTACCTTTGGTATCAATCAACTTATAGTACCATGCAAACTGTCGCTTTTGATCTGACAAAAAATTGTTAACACGTAGCTTTTAACACATTTTGATATTTTATGGCTGAAATAGGGCGCGTGAAGCGTACCGGCTGGAGGATACTTGCAAATCACTTGCGTTCGATCTCTCGCTAAAAACTAGATCGTTCCTAGATCGGGAAATTTGAACCGCAACTGCCTAGGAAGACAGCAGCATCAGACCGATCATCACTAAATTGTCACAAGCCGTTTAATAGGCTAAATGCTCACTTAATTACTTTGGCGATACCTGATGACATCGATTTTATGGATTTTTCCCTTAGGAAATGATTAACAGCGACAGCATCACCATTTAACCTTTCATAGGTAAATTTGCTGGACCTTGCCATGAGAACTTGGCATATCTCTTTGTGTGTCTTTAACATTCGCTGAATATTCTGAAGTCTTAGTCTTTTTTTACTTAGCAAGACTCGTCTTTCACATCTAATGTGCGAATCACAACATTTCTTCCGTTCGATTCGTTTTCGCCTATCTTTATCGATTAAGGTATTCCGAATTTTTTGCGTGTAAGATTGGCTGTTACTTAGCGAATTTCCTTCTCCCTGAATGTCATTGATTCCTGGTCGATTCGGTTCTCTCTGAAGATGGCCATGCTAAAACGTTCCGCTTTCTATTGCAGAGTGTGAGCCTTTATCAGACGGATCTGGTAACAACTTTCCGAGGCCGGAGGGATAAAATGCGTGGTTGGAGCGGCTTAAGGTCGAAATTTCACCATGCTCGTGATGAACGGCTTCACTCCAACTGCACTACCTATTCTGCTCATAGTCTTGATTAAAAAGCTTATTTAATTAAAAAAAATTAGTTAACTAAATTGGTGCACAGTAGACCTCGCCAAGATCAGAAAATTGGTTTGAAATAAGGCGCTGAGTTACGTATGAAAATAAGACATTCAGCCTACTATTCATTTTTGGGTTTTTTGAAGTCTGTCCGAAATATTCGATAGCTTTTCACGCTCATGCTTGTCATGCCTTTGTCAAGATCGTGACTGCCCATAATAAACTATATTTGTTGCGCATTTTCACCGTTTATGCTCATTGGGAATTATTTTGTCAACTTTCCTACTTTCAAATCTAGGAGCTCCTTTCCGCAAATACTGATTGGTGATCACACTTTCCAAATGTTTTTTTTTCGCATACTTACAAAAAAATAGGTTTAGTAACTCGAAAGACCGGCGTAAATAGTTGGTATATCTATTTATATGATTTTACAAACTAATCTTGTCGAGCCGATGCTACGTTGGTAAAAGTTTTGTGGCAGCTGTTGTTGGTATTGTTAGTCGATGGCTGTTTCGGCGATTTCGCCTTCCTCAGAGCCTAGACGCTTTTATGCAACAGCAGTCTTATATTCGATAAAATATTTGCAGTATTAAACAAGATAAAACTTTAAAATAAACACCGTAATGATCAAAAAGGCTGCTCACCATGTTGTTACGAGTGAGACTGCCCGCATGTTGTTCGCGTGGGACAGTGAGCGAGAACCACCCAGGGATCAAAAAATCGCTTTGAAATAAGGGACTAGGTCACGTGTGAAAGTTAGGTATTCACCCACGACCGACTTTCTATTAACCTCGGCATTGATCAAGTAATTCTTCGTATTTTTGTTGAGCAAACGCGAGGTGTTA